CAGTAATTAAAAACATCAACGTATCATCATATATGATTAATCAGCATGTGTTTATGTATAATATGTATTAATATCTAAAAGTATTATATTTGTACTACATTATTTCAGATTTCTTCAATTTGTAACTTCACGTGAATGTGTTTCTCTTTCAACTTTATCTAAAGTTCTTGTCTTTTTTTTGCAATATGTTTTCTTCTTTTCTTTACTTTTACTTTTTAAAAGATAGAATCACTAAAAAGAAAGCCTCTATCAGGAAAAGGACCTATATTTGCAAGCATAAAAAAAATATACTTTAAAGTCTAACAAAAATACTAACACCAAGAAGGTATCATGTCCATGGCATTTAAACACATCTTATCCTAAGGCAGATTTCTTAATTTATATTATTACAGTTGTAAATGAGCATAATTATGAATTAAATATAAGAGTCATTGTATTTAAAAAAGAAAAGAGATTTACAAACAAAATAATGAAGAATGTGCAATTTCTAACAAATAACTATAAGATGAGAACTACTACTCAAAGAAGATACTTAAAGGCCAAATACCCTTCTTATCCAATATATAGTAAAGAATTATATGTAACAATTCAAAGCTTTCAGCTTACAAAAAAATCTCTTGCAAATAATGCTGCAAAGATATTCAATTGGCTGAATAAACAAAAAAAAGGAACCCTAGATGGATGGTAATGAGAGGATGGGATGATGACAACATGTTAACTTGTAATCTGAATAAATTAGTTCAAATCAAATTTGATTTAAATCTGATCTAATCTGAATCTGATTTGAAACAGATCTGAACTAATCTGAATCTAACTAGATCTGATCTAAACTAATCTGAAACTGATTCAGATTTGAACTGAATTAATCTGAATCTAATTAATCTGAACTGAACTGAAACTGATTCAAATCTGAAACTAAACTAATCTGAATCTAATTATTCGTTCAGTTTTCTAAAAAGAGATGTTAATTATGTTCTTTAAAAGTAAAAAAATGAAAAGAAATGAATGAATTAATCTCTTAGTTCATTCATTTAAGTTTCATTTATTCAGCTTTATTCATTCATCTGGTTTCCTAAAAAAAGAAAAGGAAGATGTTAATTACATTTCCTGAAAATAAAAAAATAGAAGAAATAAACAAACTTACCTTTTAGTTCATTTATTCAAGTTCTGTTCATTCAGCTTCATCCATTGTTCTAGTTTCCTAAAAAAAGAAAAGAAAAATATTAATTATGTTCTCTGAAAGTAAAAAAATGAAAAAAAATGAATGAACTAACCTCTTAGTTCATTCATTCAAGTTCTATTTACCCAGCTTCATCCATTTGTCCAGTTTCCTAAAAAAAAGAAAAGAGACATTAATTACATTCTCTAAAAGTAAAAAAATAAAAGAAATAAACGAACTCATCTTTTAGTTCATTTATTCAAGTTTTATTCATTTAGCTTTATCTGTTTATCCAGTTTTCTAAAAAAAGAGAAAAGAAAATGTTAATTACTTTTCCTAATAATTAATAAAATAAAAAAAAAATGAACTTTATATTTATCTAAGATTCCAGTTGTTTAACTTCATCTGTTTATCCAGTTTTCTAAAAAAAGAAAAAAGGAAATATTAATTACTTTNTCTAATAATTAATAAAGTAAAAAAAAAATGAACTTTACGTTCATCCAAAATTCCAGTTGTTCAGCTTCATCCATTCATCCAGTTTCCTAAAAAAAAAAAAAAGAGGAACGTTAATTAATATCCTAAAAGTAAAAAATAATGAAAAAATGAATAAACTAACCTCTTAGTTCATTCATTCAACTGAAGTTTTGTTCGTTCAGCTTCATCCATTCATCCAGTTTTAAAGAGAAAAGAGATGTTAATTATGTTTCCTAAAAGTAAAAAAAAATGAAAAAAATGAACAAACTAACCTCTTAGTTTATTCATTCAAATTCTATTTGTTCAGCTTTATCCGTTTATTTAGTTTAGAAAAAGAGAACGTTAATTACTTTTTCTAATAATTAATAAAGTAAAAAAAAAATGAACTTTACATTCGTCCAAGATCCCAATTGTTTAGCTTCATTCATTCATCCAGTTTCCTAAAAAAAAAGAAAAGGAAAATGTTAATTATATTCTCTAATAATTAATAAAGTAAATAAAAGAATGAACTCACTTTTAGTTTGTTTAGGAACTGTTCATTCAGATTTTTTCATTCATCTAGATTCTGATTTAAAAAAAAGAAGAGAAAGATCATAAAAAAAATAAAAATAAAAAAACTTTTTTTTATTTTATTGATATTTAATATATAAAGATTTGAATTCAATCAGATTAGATCTGTATTTTTTTGCTGATCAGATCAGATCAGATTCAGATCAGAATTATTTAATTTGGATCAAATCTATGGATCTTAAATTTGCAAATTGATTTGAATCCGTTTCAGATCAAATTTGTGAATTTAGATTAGATTAGATTTTTTTTAGAATACTAATGTTAATCCATTTAGTATAGATGATACTAGGATAAATAGAAGATTGGATTCAATTTAGCAATTGTATTATTAATAATAATGTTATTCATAAAATAAATCGCTATGAAATGGCCTTATTACTCTTTGTGAATTTCAATAGAGATATGCAAAATATTCTTCTTACCCATGCCTTACTCATTGATGAAAGTAAGAATTCCTATCACTAGTTGTTCAAACAGATTCTTAAAGCTACTGGTATTCACCTGACTATAATTTTAATAGATTCTAATCCAACTGTGAATACTGCAATAAAAGAAGTATTCATAAACACTTACCTGATCTATTGTGCATTTCATATTATTCAAAATCTTCATAAAAATTTTCAAAAATCTCTTGAAGACCAATATGAAAAATTTATTTAAAACTTTTATCACTGCAGAAATAGTCTTATTCAGTTAATATTTTCAAATTGGTTTGCAAAACTAATGGAAAATTATCCATAAAGTAGAAGTTATCTTGAAGAATTGTACAAATTAAAAAAGTATTAGGCACACTCATACACAAGTTTTAAGTTCACAGGAGGTATGATTGGATTGAATTTATAAATGGTTATATCAAGAGGATGTTATTTAACTCAGATATTTTACTTTACGAATTTATGAGTAAAATTCGCAAACTGCTTGATGAGTAAGATAAAAAAACAAATATCAGTATTGGAAATGTGCGATACCTTTGATAAAAAGTCAAGATAAAGCAAACTTTTTGTTTACAGAAGTAAATAAATGCTGTTAAAACTTTTTTGCACCTACCATTTTAGAGTTACAAAGAGATGAAATCAATCAATTACTCTATTATACTGCAAATTTAATTAAACAATAGGATATAGTAATCAAAGAATCATATGATGAAGAATGTGCTAAAAATTCTTAAGCAACTATAGATTAATTATTAGAAGTTAGTGACTATGATAACATCAAGAAAATATGGAAAATTATAGTTAGAAACATATTGAAAGCTAAATATTATGTTATGCTTCTAAAAAATGAGACTCACTTATATTTATATTATTATTTTAGCAAATGCAAAGAACTGAAATTTTACATGTGATTCAAGTTAATAAAAGTTTATTTCAGCTTTATGATTAACTTTTATAATTCTGAAAGCCAAAATTAAGAATACTTTCAAGATAATTTTACAGTAATAAAATATAGTTTTTATTAAAAAAATTTTATAGATGTATCAATTAGATTTTAGAATTAATCTCTTTGTTTACAAAGATAACTCTAAATAACTTGAGTTATTATCCTTGTTTGTGGTAATAGACTAAAGTTCTAACTTACATCCAAAATCTCTTCTTTTTATAAGAATACTTCATTACATAAATAATAATAAAATAAATATTATAATAAATATAATAAATATAACAAATATAATAATATAATTAATATAACTAATAAAATAAATTTAACTAATCTAACAAATCTAATAATCATAACTAATTAAACTAATCTAACTATTATGACTATTATAATTTTCATGACTAAACATGTAACATTACATGATCTACAACTCATGTGATTTTCATTTTCTAATAATGTTTTATGATTATTTGAAAGGAAATTGTTTGCAGACATTATTTTCAAGTTATGCTAATACAAAAGAAGCCAAGTTTCATATTAGGCTAATTTCATTCTGATGGTATTAAGAAGATAAGGATCCATTATATAAATCATTTATTATTGCAAGTAAGTTCAGCAACATGATCAAAATTATAGATAATGTTGTCAACAACTTCCTATGTCCTAATAATAAAGAAAAGAAAGATTTTTTTTAAAGAATAAATGAATTTTTTTGATAAAAAACTTATATATAGTAATCTTTATGGAATGTATAAGAAAGCTTTACAAAAAGCCCTACAAAAGAAATCAAAATCATTACGTCTAATTGGAATTCTAAAATTAATTTTGATAGTAGTGAAGATGAAAATAAATTGAATGAAGTATTAGATAAAAATTCTAATGATAGTGATAAAAAAAACACAGAGGTATTCCAGTTATAAAATCCAAAAGTAAGACATAGTAAAGAAAGGTCAGCTGGTACAAAAAGATATAAATTATTATATGAAAAAAAAGGGGATAAAGCAAAACAATAATGATATTGTAAAAAATATAAAAATCTGGAACATTACCAAAAGAATTATAATGTTTAGTATAGAGTTATGTTGCAAAATGTGCTTATTTTAGCAAATTAATAAAGAAATTTTTGGATTAAAATATGCAGTGATAGGTTTAAGATGTAAAATATCAAATAACTTTTTATTTACAGATATTAAAGACACAAAATAACTACCATCTAACATATTTTGATGAGACATCCAAAAGTCTTGTTTTTATCTTTATATGATTACTGAATAGTAAGTTAATTATACTTAATTTCTTTATCATTTTCATTGCATTCTTTGCAAATTATTAATCATGTACTATTATTTATTATAGAATTAAAACACGTATACGTGTCATATTCATAATTGAATTACTGATAATATAAATCTAAAAAAAAAGTCCAGTGCAGGAATCAAACCTGCATTTCTAAGATAAAAAATATAAAATTATCTAGCATTTTACTAACTAAACTAACTGAGCATATTTGTTTATTTAAAAGTTATAATTATTATATTTATATATATCAAATATTCATAGTATAAAAAAAATTAAACTTTATCATGTGACATGGGATGCAATGCATCATGGGTGGGATAAATTATAAAATCCTTTAAAAAATATATTCTTTAAAAAAAATCTTAAAAATCTTTGTATAAAGTTATGAATATAAATATATATTTTTGTAAATATGAAAAAAATAGATTTTACTAGTTTTTATATTTTAGTTTGACTTATTTCATAAGATTAGCAGCTTAATATATAAATATATAAAATTATATAATTATATAATCTAAATATGTAAAGGTTTAATTTCTTTTTGTATATTAAATAATATTATTAAATTCTTTTATTATCATAAATTTTAAATTATATAATATAAAAAAATAGAATTTATTTGACAGTCACCGAAGGTTAATTTGCAAATAATTCACCAGGTGGTGAATTTCACCTTGATTTTCATAATGCATTTTTTTATATTTTAAATTTCACCTATTTATATTAATCATTTTTGGTTAGTAATTTTTACCTGGTTTGTTTTTTCTCTTTTTCATTTCTTTTTCATATTTTTTTTGTTTCTTTCTTTTTCATATCTTTTTTGTTTCTTTCTTTTTATTATTTTGTAGGTAATAGTAGTATTATGCTATTGTTTTTTAATGTCTTGTAAGTAATAGTGGTTTGTAATAGTTGTATTTCTTTGGTTTTTCTATATGGTTGGTTTTTTTATTTTTAATTTTTGACATTTTTAACTTTGACCTTAACAATTTCAAACTCTGACATTTTAAACTCTGACGCAAATTCTGACTCTATAATTTTAAACTCTGACGTTTCAAACTTTAACGCGAACTCTGACTTTTAATAATTTAAACTCTGACATTTTAAACTCTGATGCGAACTCTGACTTTTATAATTTTCAAATTCTGACGTTTCAAACTCCGACGCAACTATAATTTCAAACTCTGATATTTCGTGAACTCTGACTCTATAATTTCAAACTCTGACATTTCAAACTCTGACGCGAACTCTGACTTTTATAATTCCAAACTCTGATGTTTCAAACTCTGACGCGAACTCTAACTTTAATAATTTTAAACTCCGATGTTTCAAATTCTACGTGAATTATAATTTCAAACTCTGACATTTCAAACTCTGACGTGAATTCTGACTCTATAATTTCAAACTCTGACATTTTAAACTCTGACGTTTCAAACTCTGACGCGAACTTTGATTTTAATAATTTTAAATTCTGACATTTCAAATTCTATACAAATTATAATTTTAAACTCTGACATTTCAAATTCTGATGCGAACTCTGACTTTTAATAATTTTAAACTCTGACATTTCAAACTCTAACGTGAACTCTGACTTTAATAATTTCAAACTTTGACGCAACTATAATTTTAAACTCTGACGTTTCAAACTCTGACACGAACTCTGACTTTTAATAATTTAAACTCTGACATTTCAAACTCTGACGCAACTATAATTTCAAACTCTGACATTTCAATCTCTAATGCGAACTCTGACTTTTAATAATTTTAAACTCTGACATTTCAAACTTCGACTGAATTCTGACTTTAATTTCAAACTCCGATACTTAAATTTAAATTCTGATATTTTAAATTCTAATTATAATTTAAATTCTGATGTAGTAAGTGATATATTACTAATTAAATACAAGCTTTATTTTTCCATCACTTTAATTACATTAGTTATTTTTATTGATAGTTTAATAGATAGTTACAAATGCAAATTTTTTTTTACTTTTTTCTTTTTTTTTATTATTTGTTTCTTTTTCTATTTTAAACCATTTATTAAACAAAATAAAAAAAAAGCATTTTTATAATAAATCTTAAATTTACCAAAATTTCTTTGATAAATTAATAAATATAAAATTATGTAATAAAAATCACATGATGTGGTGAAATTAACCTCCGGTGAATTATTTAAAAATTCACCTCCTGGTTAATTATTTTTTAAATTAACCTCCAGTGAAATTCACCTCTGGTGAGGTTTAAAATCATCCAAAAAAATATTTTATTTTTATTTTTTATATATTTAGTAATTCCATGAATTTTCTATAACTCTTACTTAAGTTTTAACCACAATTCTAGTTATAAATATACTAACTGATAAAGTTTGAGCATTTGGTAAAAAATAATTAAGTAAGATTTTTTGTTATTTGCATATTACAAATCTATAGGTATATAATTGGCCAATTCTTTTAGATTTTCAAATTTTGGCTTTTATTTATTTTTATATATCTCTAATTCTATTAAACCTCACTTCTGAATTTTTTTAAGTATTTAATTTACAAAAAACCTTCATTATATCACTTTATGAATTTCACAATTACTTTTACTTATTTTCTTAACAATTTCATAAATAGGCTATTTTTTTATTCAATTTCTATAATTATTATACTTTAAATAAAGAGGGTCTACATTATTACTATTTTAAAAATAATAGTAATTAATTATCTAACTTTGGTATTCATATTGATTTTGACAACACAAATTTTATGTACTCTTATATTAAGATAATATTTTCATTCATATTCTTAATCAGTTATATTTTGAATATTAAAAAATCTATTTATTAAAATATATTTATAAAATCATTATATGAAATAAATAATTTATTAAAAAGTAAAATTTGCAATTTATTAAGTTTGAATATTTACATTTTATAATTTTTAGCCAAGGTTTCAAAATTAATTTTTAAATCTTTTTTTATCAAATAAAATATAATACTTTTAACTTTATTACTATTATATCCTACTTGTTTAATTTTTTGTATTAGATTTACTACATGTATAAAAAATATTAAATATATATACAATTAGTTGTAAATTATTATTACTTACTCATATTTAAAGGAGTTATATAATATATTATTAAATAAATATTAGGTGAATTAATCCTTATTTCAAATACATTTATCCTAATTATTATTTGAATTTTACTATCTTTTTAATATAACATAGTGCTTTTAGATTTAAATCTTTATAATATACACTTAAATTATTATCAAATAGTAGTAGTTATAATGTCTTAAAAAGATTATTACAACCTGACTTTATTATATAGTAAATAATTATCTTTTATGCTTTTTAATTAAATTTATAAGATTATTTAAAAAGTATTGCTAATTATCTTTTCTTTTATAAAATTTTTATTATTATTTCTTTGCATTTAAAAGAAGAGTTTTGGATTATAGAAAAGGTTTCTGATAATATTTTAAGAAATTTACAAATTTTTTGAACATTTTAATATATACATATAGCAATCAAAAATATAATAGAAACTGTGAGCCAATTCTTTTTTTAATAATTTTAAATTTTTCTATAATTTTCTATCAAAAAAATTAGAATTGCTTATCTAAACTTTTTTAAAATCTTACACTTAGTTTTTCCAAATTTTTATTATAGGTTCACAGAATTTTATTAGTTTCAACATTTATAATAAATTTTAATGGATTTCACCTTTTATTAAGTTTCACTAATTTTTAATAAAACTTTAATATAGTTTTATCAAATTATTACATTTCATCATTTCACCTATTTGCTAAATCCTTTAGTTTCGCCAAGTAATTTTAAAAAATTATTAGATTTGAATATTAAAATATAAGTAACATATTTTTATTAACAATTTATCTGAAATTACTATAATTCAAAATACAATGCACTTTATTAATAATAAATTGTACTTTTACTTGATTATACATATTATTAATAAAATGCTAAAATTCTTTACTTAAATAAAGTTTTTCAGAAGTAATAAATATTACTTTCATAAATCCTAATGCAATTTCTTCAAATATTTTTTTTTGTTCACTTTTGCTTTATATTGTATTTATATATACATATTGAAGTATAAAATATATCAAGATGTATTAATTCTTGCTAATTAAAATAATAAAAAATATAAGTAATAGCTTTGAAATTATAATATCAAAAATGGGTATTTACTTATTAATTTTTTATTAAAGCCTTTAGTAGACTAATAACTACTATTATTTCCTTAAAAATTAATGTACTAAATGTATAACAAAATGTTTTACCTTTTCCTGTTTTGATTGTTACTAATATACTGTATCTTTATCACTTAAATATATATATTTCTATTGATTCAAACTGTTCTTACAATTAATTATATCCAAATACTTATTTTATACTAGCTAATAATACTATTTCTTTTAAATCCAAAAACTTTTATTTACCAGTAGAAATATAATTTTTATTTAATAAATAATTCTAATAACCTATTAAAATACAAAAAAATCATAAAAAATATAGATCAGTACCATATAGCACTGATTAAAAGATCTCCCTTATAGTGTACTTTTATGTAGTGTATCCGGATATTTTATCATATGTAAAAAAAATTTTTTTAATTAAGATCCAGGTATATTTTAATTCTTTAAATGAGGTAAATTAATATAGATTTAAGTACAGTATTTTATCATTCATATTTGATGATTTGTTATTTAATATTAGGCATAAAAATTTTATGGCTTAAAATTGAAACTTAATTTATGCATTTATATTTTAGTAATTTAACCAATAGATTGTTGTGTTATTAATAAATTTTTGTGTTATTTAATTTAAGACTTTCAAAACTTTTCTTTATTTAATTATTAAAACTAATAAATCCAATCTTGAATTATATTTTATTATTCATTATTTTTATAATAATCTTCTGATTCACTTTCATTTAAGGTTGTCTGCCAAAACTAGAAAATTTAGGCAAGTTGATAAAATGCTAAAAAGTGAAACTTTACCAAAACTATATTAAAGTCTTATTAAAAAGTTAGCAAAACTTTGCCAAAAGGCAAAACCTACCAAAACTTATTATAAATGCTGAAATTGCTAAAACTTTGTCAAAACTATAATAAAATTATAGTAAAATCTTGCCAAAACTAATTGTAAGATTTTGAGAAGGTTTAGGCAAGTAACTATACTTTCATCACTATCTTTTGA